GAAACAGATCCCAGGCATTATTTTGGATCTTGGGCAAACTGTTGACGAATTCCATCTTCTTACTGCAACCTCCATATGGTTAGCTGCGTAGGGCTGAAGGCATCAATGATCCAGTCTTGTCATCTTATCATCGTTGCTCTTAAATTTCTTAAATACTTTTTTGTACAGGATGGCTACTTTTATATGAGTGTATATAGTAGTGCCGACGAGTTTCAACATAATCGTATGGAACGCCCAGTGGTATCCGGGACTACAATGCATCAGTTGCAACGAAAATAGATGCTCTTACAACTGCCACTGACTTGCCATATGAAGACTTGAGTTTGCTGTGGTTCATTATCAAAACTGTGGAGTGTCACCTGTGTTGATTTGTCATGATAGATTCCTGCTTGCGGTTATCATCTCCCACTTAGAAAATAATGCCATTGGTGTTATGTGAATGAGATATCAAAGAAAACAAGCTCTACCCAGGGGGTGTAAGAATTCAGGATTCCATGTAAAACAACAGGGCATTTAATTGTTAAAAAAGAGAGAGATCGTGTAATGGGAATGAGAAAAGTGCTTCCAATCTCATCTATGTCAAATGGAAGAGTACTTTCACCTGGGTTCGTTGGGAATAATATTCCGCAACATTTCCCTTTTTCAGGTCAGTATTATGATTTCTTAAACAACGAAGAATTTGTTCCTTTATTTTACCACATCACACAGGTTTTACAACAGTAGATGTGATGTGAAAATCCCCAAGTAAAATGCGCATGTAATTTGTACAACTTGATTTAGATCAAAAATATCCCATAGTTGGTGATCGTGGTTACCAAATCCACCATAAAAATGGCATTTTGCCTGGCGATATTCTTTACCAAAAGTAAACATTGACCCAGTGTAATAAGTGTAATACGTAGTAGAAGGTGGCTCCTTCGGAATAACTGTCTTTACTTTTTTTGTTAGCAACCATAATGTGCATAATAAATGGGAAAATGTAAGCTACCTGTTATTAACTGCACGTATAGTCACGTAATCCCATTTACCTATTCCAGACAGAAAAACAGGGTATCCAGGTGTGAGGATCATTTTCAAGCCCACTATACCCCGCGATCCACCAGCCAAGACCCTCATTTGGGTTAGGGGACTTGAGGGCACGAACAGACAGTCTGAACTCTCAGTTACCAGTATTCACAGGAAAGTCATGGTGTTATCAGTGATAACACCATGCTCATGCTCATGAATAGACGCATTTGGAGGCTTCAGGAAATGCAAATCTCAATTAACCTCGGTGTGTCATATTCCCGGATCGTTCCAATAAGTGACTAAATATTTTGCATGAAACCGAAGTGTGATGCACTGACTGTAGATTTATGCGATTAGCCTAGTGTGGTCATGCACCCACTGACCTGCAGCAGTAAACCCAAATCTGCGACTTGATGCTTATTTTTCCCTGATTACGACTGACTGACCCCATCAAACTGGACAAACCACGTAAGCGATCTGAGTGCATGTACTTGCACCAGGCTTTGGGAAAACATTCATTCACGCCTCTTCGATAACTCTGAAAATCACCTTGCCGAATGTAAACTCGGTAGTATGGTCAGAAGAGACATTTACTGGCCTATCATGTATAATCATTCTCGTAGGGTCTAAATAGAAACCGACCCTTATCCCAGAGCTTGTAAATAGAACAGTGTGCAAAAGGCAATCTTGTTTCCTAAAACCTACCTTTAAAATAACCACCAAATGGTATAATTTATTTTTCACCACTAAACTATTAGCTGTTCGCTTACCTAACCTGTGTTCAAATGTGTCCTAACGATCGCCTCTGAATAACTAGAAAAAATGCTTGTGGATTTTGCATGTTTCTATTTGCCTTAACCGAATATCCTCGTTAGTCAGAGTGAAATATCCGCACAAGAAAATGTTTCCGATTATTATTTTCTAGATTAATCAAAGACAAGTTTATTTAAAGTAATACTCAAAAAAGTAAACCGATGCCTTACTAGTAACCTTGGTTTGAAATTTAAATATTTGCATAAAAGGAATGCTCACTTTAAAGTGTTTCTGGAGGTCGTCCACATACTTCAGGATAGACTTGTCAAAGAAGACATGCTCGTGCTTGCCAAGGTCGATAATGCCCCACAACTTGGCCACATGAAATACTCGACCACAACGGTTAGTCATCGTACGAGTGCCCGAATCCAGCGGTTTGTTCCCTGTTATGACGATGTTGATCATCTTGAGCACACGTCGATTCGTCACCAGGGTGTCTGGATGATCATGCGCTTCCGTAGTCGCCCAAGTAGCACTACCACCGGGTTGCACTTTCGGTGTCCCAGTGGAGTCATGGACCTCAAAGAAGATCGGATGCTGCAGAATAAACTCCTCCAGTTCAACCTTTGTCCACCCAATTGCGCTTTGGACAGATTCCGGGGCCTTTGTTGAAAGAATTTGCATAAGCTGAATGTACGAAAGGCCTGCTTGTCCTGGAGCACCTCCTTTTTTAGCCAGCACCTTCCGAAGGAACATAATGGCTCGATATTCGTTGGCGCTCATTCGAATGCAAATACTTCCACTGGAGTTGCTAGATGTGTCCACTTCTTGACCTCGATTTCTCCTCGTTATTTGACGAGATGGCAAACTGACAGTGTCTTGTGGAGCACTGAATCGAGCGGCATTTTGTGTGTTCCCATTGAGTCTAGGTCGAACCATTGGTGTATTGGATCGGTTTAGTTGAGTATTCGGTGTGTTTGGGGCTGATGTGGCCAAGCTCTCCAAATCCTGACAAGCAAGGTAGTGATCAGATCCGGTAGACACGTTCCCTAGACGCCGGATCGGGGTAGTCGAAACAGCGGCCGACGATGCCTGCGACAGCATAATGAGGGACTTTGGGCGCGAAACTTTCTGTGAGCTACCACTGCCTGCTGCTCCAGCAGCACCACGCAGATTAAGCGCAGACAGACTGTTTGAGGTCTGACTGTTGAGGTTGCCGCTTCCGAAAGACTTTGGTCGTCTCGACGACAAGCATGTAGCACTAAAAGAATCTTTGAGGCCAACCAGATCGCCTTGAATTTCAAATACATGCGGGTGCTTCAAAAGGAAGCGTCGAAACTCCAACTGAGGGCCTACAATTGAGCGGACCTCCGCAGAGGCTTGCGAAAGATGGCCTGCGAGGCTTTTAATAGGAACCCACCGTTCTTCTCTACGACTAAGGCGTTGCTGGAAGAATTTGACAGCTTCTGTCTCTAAAGCAAAGTTTGTTAGTTGCGAACAGGTGGAGATTTTGTTAGCTGATGACCGGCAGTGTGTGGACGAAAGATCGGCGGAGCAGCAGCAGTGACTCGGAGTTGTGTGTGCGTGTTTGAGAAGTTGGCTAAACCTTTGTCCATGATGGTGGTGATGGTGAGCCATGCAACTGAGGTCTGTGAAAGGACAATGCACAACTGTCGTCGCGGCTGTTGTGGCAACATGAGCTGCCATTGAGCACATTTCACAGAGGGGGGCATTTCTGGCTTGAGATGCTGCTGCTGCAGCTTGAGCTCTCAAAAATGGTGGCTGGTATATACCAACTGGTTTCACCTCATTACTATTATTGCTTCCATTGGAGGTGTTCTTGAGAGATGACTTTTGAGGAACCGTCTGCCCTTTGGAAAAGTTGTCGTCTGTGGCTTCCTTTGGGGAGACAGTTGGAGTGTTCTGACTGGGATTAATCGAAGAGACACTTGAGGAGGTGTTTTGTGCATTCTGTTTCAGTGAGAGGTTGTCCATGTCAAGGCTACTCTCAGAAATCTCATCGAAGCCTGGCATTTCAATCGCCACCGCGTTCACCAGACCCGATGGCTTTACCGTGAAGAGGGAGGGGTATTTGAGAAGAAATTCCTTCAGGGCTTCCACACTTCCACCCCCACAGGCGTCGCGCATCTCGCTGGAAAAAGACTTGTTGGAAAACCTGGCCGCTAATTGTTCCACTGTCAGTGGGGACTCGGAATTCATCAACACCTCAAGGAAATAGAGCATGGCTTTGTGACTTGGGTCATTCATCATTTTGTACAGGAACACCTCCCTTCGTTTTAAGTAGTCCAAACACGAGGCTGGATCTAATGTGAAAAAGAGAACAAAAATTTCCGGGTTCATTACCAGTATTTAAAGTGATAGATCACACTAGTCCATAGCGGGCTGTGACAGCCACAAAACATTTTGTTACTGAACTATCGATGGGGTAAACTATTGTCCAGTAGAAGATGACCTCAGTCGTAAGGTCACCGCATCGAAGGTAAACTGGCCACGTTTTGTTTTGCAAGTGAGAAAAGTAAACGTGTATCAAATGCTAACAATAACCGAAGGGAACTTTGCACACTTGATCCAGTCACTAAATCGAAACCATGACATAATTTGTTAGCAGAACTCTGGACCTTCTTGTCTTTGTTACTCAAAAGTTTGGGTGGCATGTGCGCCCAATCAAGGCACCTTCTGCATTTCAAGGCCTCAACAAAATTTTAGCTGCAATTTATTTTTCTGTGCTCCCTGGTAGTCGTACAATTTTGGATCAGTCTACAAGAAATTGTCTTTTGATTTTACGAACACTTAAACTCATACTTGCCGTTACTGTCGTAATCGAAAGCCATTCTCGCATTTTAATTCAACAAATAATCCTCCAGTAATGAACCAAACGTCTACCCACCACCAATATAGTCCTTAAATTGCATGATTGAGTGTCGATGCCATCATGATTTCACAGCAAAATAGACAATTTTACAAACCAATTTCCACTCTCGACAGTCTCTCCTTTCCGGCAAAAAGTGTACATATTTATGGTTAGTACATGGCTACCAGGCAAAGCAAAATGAAATTGTTAGCCTGCCAGCCCCTGTAACACGTTTCCACCCACCGTTTACTTAAGATTAAGAAAAAGTTTTAGAATTCACCATATAATTTCTGACGAAAGTGGGTGGCTAAATAAGTACCTAGCTTTTGACGTGCCGATGAAGGAAGTGGTGCCAGTGAAATCCATTGTCACAAGTTGGTATGACTTAACTCCCAGCTTTATCAATGAAAGTTTAAGGCCCAGCACCAGGTCATGTGCCACATTCTTTGAAAGATGTGAAATTTAAAAAAAATTACCTGGGACCCGTTTACTGGTCATGGACAAAATTAGCATCGAACACACTTGGATTAACCTGGTAAGACAGCTACCCGAGACCTCTAAATTCATTCAGGATTCGATATGCACATCTTAATCGATTACCATCAGAGCAAAAAGCAATAAATAGCGCTCATTCGGAACGTTCGGATGAATGCCAGTTCAATCTTCTAATGATAATTTAAAAATTCTCGTTTTCACAACTAATTTACTTGCAAATGCTGGTTTCGAAGTGTAGATTCCGTATTGCCTCATTATTTCGAACCATGTGACTGAACGATGTAGCACCTACTAATTACCTTACCTTCATATACGGTTATAGCAGCAGGGCGGAATACACGCCAGAATTTTGCTTATTTTACTTAGCCCACTAAGTCAGACCAAAATCTCCGGGAAAATAAGCAGACATGTACCGAACAGCAGGACCAAAATTTTAAGTTTAAGATGCCACTCTGAACTCAATAATGCAGCCAAGGAAGAAATTTATGGACGATTTTGCTTTAATTTAAAAAAAACGTTTTGAATAAGGCATAGAAACTCTAAAAAAATGTAATACGTGGTAGTTTGACTAGCCATTGCTCTAAAATGCACAAGACGCTAATTTCTTAACGGTCGATTCGAAAAAGATTAATGAACGTATCAATTGGCATTCTTCGGTGACCGTGACAGGTCAATTCTACGAAACTTGAAACTTTCACTATACATCTATGTCTGTGAATAGATTTCCGTGGTGTTAAAATGGCAAAGATTAACTCTGCTGTAGGGCGGCTGACTCTGTAAACACATAAACGATGATTAAACTACCGGAACGGTCTAGCAAATGCATACAAATAGGAGTTTTCGTTATAGAATTGCTTGGATGAGCATGTTGTCTATGAAATTAAATTTCCATCAAAATGCGGCATCTAACGATAATGATAAAGTGATAAAGATTTTAGTTAAAAGTATAGTAGGCATTTCCAAACGGAGTGAGGCTGCAATTAAAATCAAATACCTAAAATCAAAGACACGAATCCTGTTTGCCAGAAGAACAGTTGAGGAGTGACTTTTTTTCTACTAAAGGACGATTGTATTACCCTTTGTTCTCCATTCCCTTGTTCCTGAAATGTGCCAGTGCGCAAATATGACGTGTAAGCGTAACGTAAATTCCTCCTGTATTTACTAAATGAGGAAAAACATGACTTTATGGCCTACAGCCCTTCAGCAGTAGAAACCCCATCAGGATGTGCAATTTTGGAAATGTTAACAAACAAATCGGATAAAACAATGGCTGAACTTTGATCCCAAGCATGCTGAGCTTCCTGAAGAAGATCGCTAGGCTCCGTTTTGCGTAACTTGCTAAGCAAAGGACTTAATACGAGAAGACGGCTGCTAAATTAACCTCTGATTTTGCTTAGGATACTGAGGTTTTTAGAAGTGTCACTAAAAGTGTAATCATTTTTAAATTTTGGGCAATAAATTGGGGAGATTTTCTGTACTAAATTTACACAAACAAGTTGCCTTTTGTTTCTGTTTTAGGCTATTTTGATATCAAATTTTACGATCAACCCAAGATATGCCGCCTTTGTACAATCTGACAGCACTTGTGACTCATTTTCTTCCGATAGAAATCCCACATTCGAAAATAAGAAAAAATTGTTTATCCAATGATTTCAAGAAATCGTGAACCCTTGGTTGCTATTGTGGTTTTGATCTGATCAATCACCATTGCTGATTCAGACTTGTTAACTCACTTTTGTTGGCGTAATCACAAAATAATGACCAAAAAGAAAACTACCATTCTCTAATCAATTGAACGAGTGCATGATACTACACTTTTATCCTCTTCAAAAACTACAGGGTGCAGCGTGGCCGGAAGAGAACACGAGATTTGCGCAATGCCATCCCACGTAAACATGAAGTTGAAAATTCGAACTTGTGAAAGTTTACCAAATCAACCAAACGACATCGGTGGACTGGAAAAAGGGCACAGATTACGTCAATTTGTTTATTGTGCAGATACGAAAATATCGAATGTCCGTTTACTGAGCAAAGAGGTTGTTGTTTAAGTTATGTAAACAAACAAAGGCTGCTTTGTGTTGTTTAAAAAAGCATGTAAAATTGTTCTTTTCTGTGATTTTCTTGGGATCTGCTAGATCGGTGGCCTAGAAACACTATGAAAATAAAATTAACAAATATTTAACAATAGGTTAATGCAAAATGTTTGCAAGCTTCATTTTATTTTCCCAGCCAGTTAGCGTCAGATACGCATTAATGTGAAAGACTCCGATGCACGGAACACAAACACTTCAAGCGAATTTATTTTAAAGAACTGCATATCTGAGTCGCTTGTCAACGAAGTTTTACGAATTTTTCCCAATAGTTTCATCGATTAATCATTCTATTGGCAGAAATAGACTTTTTTCTCACTTTAGAATGTGGTAATTATGGACCTTTTGCCTCTTCATACATTTTGTTTTGGTGTACATAACTTTTGCCGTCTCGCATAACCATAGATAACTGGAAAGCTTCCAAGGTACATTTACTAGTGGGGCAATTACTAGGAATAAACTGGTCCGATGCATGGAATTCTCGATCGAAGTCGGTTAGTTCGCGACCTCTTCATTAAAAGATGAAGCTTAATTTAATGCAGCCACTAACCTGTGATTTTTGACGTGTCATCAATTTCTGAATCCGAGAACGGGTCAGCTTTAGCCATCAGTTGAGGCATCGTCTCCTATTGTATAGTCTTTTTTTACTTTTGTTTTCGAATAACCCTATTGATCCCCAGGCCGTCGAAAGACAAAGAACATCAGAGGCCTCTGCAGTTGATTTGTGTGGAGGCTTGGATGCAGCGTGAGTCACAACACTGCCGGGAAAGCACACACGCACAGCACGCGCACACGCTTCCGTGCGTTGCTTGTGCCACTATTGAACACACACACGGGCGTACTGATTGCAGCAACTGTGTTGTGCCTTTTCGGGCAGTTGCAGTTGTTATTGACAAGGTGTACACGTCCGCACAGCCAAGCGCTTGCGTGCGCCCCGCCCACACGGTGTCATGCACAGCACACATGGCGACTGGGAGCCAATCAGGTTGCTGAGGTAAGGTGGTTGCCCAATCGTGATGTGCACATGAATCTGACCGTTTATTGAAGGTTTGCACTACCAGACGAGCGCGATTGCTTTATGTTCTAGAAAAGTGGACATTTTGTTCATGAAGTAGCAGATGCTCAAACAACCGGAAATTATTTTCCTGAAAGTACGACATGAAAATTGCATCCAGAATGTACTAGAAGATTAAACCTTGATTAAGAAGATAAATCATTAGGGGGTATAATCTTTGATAAAGACGTGTGAATTGGGCTGCACCATAACCACTTCTACAAACGTATCTTAAAGGCCAACATTTCTATTTCACAGACAAAAATAGCAGGTGTAAATTTTAAAATCAAAAACCAACCAGTACCACGGCGGTCCGTCTTCGAGAACACCTTATAACAATTTTCCTTTTCTTTTATTTTATTTTTTACGTTATACCTAAGAGAAGAAAATCTCTTATTATCTAAAATTATTCTCGAATTTGCTTGTGTTCCATGGGGAATTCTCTAGATACACACTTTTGGAAGTGAAGCGATTCATTATCCCGCTCCCTTTAGTAAGATCACCCAGCATGTGGAATGACAGCACCTGAATCCGAAGGAAAATTACAATGAGATTATGAATGAACAAGGAACTTTCAAATGATAGGAAACAATTTTATTTCTGAGCGTCATGTTTTCGTCATACATTTTACCAATAATTGCGGATTTCACGTCCCTTCATCCAATTCGCAAGTCAGCCATAATTTTTTTTGAATTTTTGCAACCTACTTGTCTGACAAAATGTCTCTTCATTGGTTGTTAGTGGCCTTATGCATATTGTAGCCTGTGTGAGTGGATTTAGTAGCAAATTAATTTCTTCTGAATAGTTTGCATTTTAATTTCTGAACATAAATCAGCCAATGAAGTGCAGTGATTCGAGTTGATTCAATCCCATCGACTCTGTCGCCGCATACCCCGACCCACCACCTCATTTTTACAGCATCGACATTAAAGAAGCGAAACCGTCTCTTCATCCATCTCCGGACATATACCTCCCCTCAGCCCATCTCACGCACCTGACCACTCAGTCAATTGTACTTGTGCCAATTAGATCAAAAAATATTTGTAAACAATTTCATTAGTCATACATGATTTTCAATATACACACACATACAAAAATTCCCACACAAAACATCTCGGTTGAGGTACCCATTGTACGATTGAATCTCTCCTCCTGTCCTACTGATTCCTTGAGTTCTTCGTGACGTATCTAGCCTCAAAAAAATTTAATCTATCCTAGGTATGTAATTTTTAGTAATCCGAGTTCAAGCGTTTAAGTTGTAATGTATTTAATGCTGTGGGGTTCCTCTACAAGGTAATAAATGCCTGCCCTTAGAGAGCCTTGATTGTGATGTCAAGTCGGTTAACATCCTTGGTTTCTGCAATGTACTTAGAATTGTAAACCCGTTAATTCCACTAGCACAGGCTTATTCGAGATCTATTATGTGTGCTATGTTTCAAAACTTGATTAAAGTATCCAATGTTATGTGTTTGAAAAATACGAACATATTTATTTCGTAATTCAAGCAACCTACATCTTTGTAATAAGAACTTTACTTTACGTACATCTTTGTAACAAGAACTTTACTGTATTCAGTAACTAGTTTGGACCAGGTCTTTCAATGTAACTCTGATAAATGATGACTTGGTAGATGAGCCAACCATTTTACCTTGAGTGCACATTAAAATAACACTTGACCATAGGAAAAACAGCTTTGCTTTCATTTATGTGTCCTCTTACTGCTAATCAGAGTTTTAAATTGCTGTCAATCTCAGCAGCAGTTGCCATTGAACGACGTTCACCAATGGCTTTGGGCTTCTCTTTCCCTGACAGCATTTAATTTTAGCTTTAGCATCACAAAGTTCGTGGGGTCACAGCTTCATTCAGTTATAATATTCTTTTAACTTTTTTAGTGTCACTTGATGGTGACCCTCTAAAGCTTTCGGGTTTTAATTTTAATATTCTGATTTATCTCACGTCACACCATAGAAACAAAGCTACAAGTGTTAAAGCAGAAATAAAAACTTTTCATTATTTAACTCCGTTATTCAAATCGATTTTTAGCCTCAAAGGCCTTGGTAAGATCACAGGCCATAAAAGTCGACATGCACCAATGGACGGCAGCTTCACAGTATACGTCGAATGATCGCTAGAGCATTCAGAAACTGTCGAATTTGAATATCATGAATCCAGAAAAAGAAGCCGACGGTAAATGTTGACACTTTGGTCAGGCAAATTCAGTAGTAGACCACTAGGCATGATCTGCCACCTTGTGCACGAGCATGGCTTTCTTGTAGACTACGTGTCAGTGAAATCTACTAGTTCCTATGGAATCAATAGATAGTTTAGGGTAATTGAT